CCCCCCAACCCCCAGGGCCGCAGCCCACTCCTTCCAGCGCCCCTCCTGCACCTCCCCCACGGAGTCACAAGCACTGTTACACTCCCTTCTTCCACACAAAAGGGGGACTGGCCACCCCATTCTGCACTCTTCTGTCTCCATGCAACAAGCATCCAGAAGGCTCCCTGTGTTTGCGCTCCCTGAGTGACTAGGCTTTTCAAACAAGTGATGAACATGAGATGATGTTTCCTTCTGCAGCCAACAAACCACGCAAGTCCTGTCACCTTGTCACCCCAGCAGGGGCTTAACTTGTAGGTTTTCCTTTCTTATCTTCCCTTGGGGGCTGAGTTGCCTGGCCTGGGACTCCCCGGACCGTCAGTTTCCCTCCATGGCTCCCCTAGCCTCTGCTGTGGGCCCGGTGGCCGGATGGGGGCCGTCCGGAAAGGCCTGCTCGGTGTGCCTCTCAAAGTGGCACCTGCTGAGCGTCCCTCAAAAACAGCACCTTGCTTGTGCTGTGACTCATCCCAACACCTGGCCGAGGGGCTCCAGGGCTGTTTAGCCAACACAGAGCCAAGAGGCCTCAAGAGGCCACACCCTGGGGCTTTCACAGTTTGGGGATCTTCTTTTCTTAAGTAAGGGCTCCACAGAGGGACGCCAACGTGACTGCACGATCCCTCTGATTTCAGAATGAGCTTGGAGTCCAGCCTTCGAGGAGGTCATGGCCAGGCCCCCAGAGGGCCCTGCGGCAGCCACCCACCATTCCCCAGACACCGCGAGACACTCGGCCCCCACCAGAGCCAGTGGCAGCCTGAACAAAAGGGCGCCCCAACACCGAACCGAACGCCAGTGTCGGCGTCTGCCGGTCAAGCTCTCTCTGGGGCGGCCCCTGCGGGACAGGACAGGGGACATGCTGACATCGCACTGGCCCCTGCGAGCAGGGGTTCTTGCTGGTGGAGGATGTCCGATGGGATGTGGGGTGACTTTGGGCCGAGCTCCCCCATTCCCAGCCCTGTCCCTCCGTGGCGGTCAGCCCCTTTCCCAGGGCTGCTCCTGGGGATCCGATACCATCTGGAGTCTCAGCTAGTTGACCGAGCAAAGGGGGACGGAGTCAGGCTGTGGCGCGCAGGACCTGCCTCACGGCCGCCAGCGTCCTCACCTGGCTTCATGGCGCTCATGACAGCACGGCAGCTCCGCAGCACCGCCTCGTAGATGGCCTTCTGGTCTGCGGTGAACTTGCCATTGGCCGGGAAGGAGCACGTGATGTCGGAGGAGAAGCAGTAATACTCTCCACCCATGTCGAACAGGCTGCGGGGAGAGGAGGCTGTGAGGTTGGGATGGCCCGCCCCCCAGGAGGCTCAAGGACAGCCTGCTGGGCCCTGGGGGTGTCAGGGTGCTGAGCCCGAGCCACCCTGTTGCATCACTGGTGCGGGCAGCAGTGTGGGGCCTCCCGCCCTGCTGCGTCCTCACGCTGCCATCTCGGGAGACCTCCGACCCCGAGCAGGGAAGCCTGGAGGGAGCGGGGCCGATCCTGCGCACATTCCCCTGCCCTCCCAGGCATCTGGGGATGCCCAGCTGCGGGGCCTCACCTGGAGAATGAGGGAGGGGCAGAGATGTCTTTATGCTCCGACTCACCATGTGGCCTCCACGCGAGCACTCCCAGACCCTCCCGCGACTTCCCTGCCCCAGCACTGCTCAGGGGCCTTGGGATGGATGAACCCACCCGACAGACAAGGTGGACTAAGCCACACCACCCAGCTCTCCTGGGCCCCAGGGTCTGAGTGAAAACCCAGTGGAAGGGTCCCTCTCCCCGCTGGGATAGGACCGATGTGCTCTACCGGAGCGTGAGGGAAGGACCAGGAGGACGTGGCAGACAGCAGTCCTCACGTCCAGCAGGGCGCCCCCACATCCCCAGGGGTGGAGAGTAGGAAGCTACGGAGGCCCTGAGCTGGGGTCTGAGAGCCAGCAGAGGCAGGAAGGTGCTGGTACACACAGGCAGGCTCCTGAGTCAGGAGGGCAGCCCAGCTCAGCCTGCCCGCTGGACCCCCTGTGACTGGGCCCAGTGCAGCAGGGATAGGAGGGTGCTGGGTGGGCCTCTCCGACACCTTGGCGGCCTGCCAGGAGCCAGGGCCTCCGGGGCCTCAGTGGTCAAGGGCAAGAAAGAATCCTCCCCTGCACCCTGCATGCTGGGATGTGACGGGATACATGAAGTGCTGCTGGGTCACCATGCTGACGGGACCCCAAATGAGAGCAGGAGGGGTGTAGAGACGGACTGCCCCCCTCCATCCTGTCCCTCCCGAGCATCTCAGCAGGCCGCTCGGCAACAGGCATACAGAGGGGACCCCTTCATCAGCCAAGCATGACGCTGATGGAGACAAAACCGAGGGACAGTGGTCTAACACCAGGCCCAGGATTCTGCTGCGTCCTCAGGGCCAGGTGACCAGAGTTGGGGGGAGCTGAGGGGCGGGGGGCAGGCTGCAGCTGCACAGATCCTGGCAAACCTGAGCCCGGGGCAGGGCTGTGCTCTCCCCAAACCCAAATCCTCGTGGTGAGCACAGCCACTCAACAAACATTGCAGGGGCCGCCTGTGCACCTGCCTTTGGGGCCCCAATCCCCCACCCTGGACGACAGAGGAGGGGGTCCCTGCCCCTGCCGGTGGAGGAGTCGGGCCATGTGGCCTGACAGGCAGCACCCGCTACTCCAAACAGAGTTTTAAAGGAAAAACTTGAATGCTCAGGATCCCCGGATGCTCTGCTGGAATCCAAAGGCCCCAGCCGAGCGCTTTTTCATCTCCTGTCTTTTTCCGATTGCAAAACGCCATAAACAGTGTCAACAGTGCAAAAAGCACCAGATAACACCTCAGGTGATTCTCAGGGGGTGGGGGGAGAGCCCCAAGCAGTATGGCACGGGAACTTCGGGCCGGGTCAAAGTCACAAACTCTAGGGGACCCTGCCTGGGGCAGGCTCGTGGCAGGGCCCTGGGCCTCACGGGGGGTAACCCAAAGACAGGACAGGGAGGCCTTGAACAGACACACCCAGGCAGCTGTTCCCCAGGAGGCTCCAGATGCACCCGGGGGTTTGGGTCAACAGCCGCCTGCAGGCTGACTCCTGTGCGGGGGGTGGGGGGTGGGGGGACGCTGGCCCCACAGAGCTGGCCGGGAGGGCAGGGAACGTGAGGCTCTGAACAGGGACCCAGCAAAGCCTCGAGTCCAGGGACAGCAGCTCAGAGCCCAGCGACAGGCCCTGTTCTGATTCCAGCGCTGGGCCCCCTGGGCCTCAGCACTTCTCCCTTTAAGATAGGGGCGCCACCGCCACTGTGTCCTCTCAGGGCTGGCATGTAGGCAGGCGTGGGGCGTGGATCTGTGTGGGGCCATGGCCCAGGTCCACCCTGGGAGCAGAGCATTCTCATTTAGGCCCCTCCAAGGCAACAAAGGAACACGGTTTGTGGTTTGTTGATTCAGAACGTCCAAGAATGGTCTGAGCAGACAGGACGGAGCTGGGGGCCTGGGCGACACAGGCCCGTGAGGGCCACCCCATCGGGGGGCAACCGCCGGGGCAGACGGGTCTGCTGGACTGTGCTGATCTCAAAGAAAAACAGAAATGGAACTATTTAAAAAACGAGGAAGCCCACAAGAGCACACTGAAGGCTGGAGTCTTCTAGAGTGGTGGAGACAAGACACTCCTCTGCGGCAGCCAGACTCCTGACGGAGTTCTCCAAACATGCTCCTCAGAAACACAGTGAGAACATGGGACAGGGGTGCTGGGAGCCCCTCGGCCAGCCTGGCTTTACCGTTCGGACTCTAGAAGACCTCGCTTATATTTGTTGTGTGAGAACCGTCCGCTCGCTGCAGAAGGAAGTGTTCGCCTAGGTGGCCAGCTCCATTCTGCCCAGCGCTGCTCGGGCACGGGGCTGGAGTCTATTTTCGTGCTCTCAGTTCCCTATCTTTCTCTGCTTAAAAAAAAAAAAAAAAAAATCCCCCTCAGAGTTCCTACACACGTAAGTTATTCAGATTCAAGCCAGTCCGGAATCCAAGGACGAAAGCGGCCTCTTTCATAAATCATCTCCCTCCAGCTCCTCTGTGTCCACGTCACCCGTCCTCTGAGCGCTAAGTGACAATGGGGAATTCAGTCATCCTTTGGCTCCACCGAGCGCTCAGGATCCTCCTCCCCCTGCCTGGGGACACCCACCAGGGCCGCTACCATCTTTGGCCGAGTGAATGCGTGTGATAATCTAAGACATCTGGGGAGCTGTTACGCATCTCCAAGCAATACACTGGCGTCTCTTTGCTCATATGTGTTTATCTGGTTCTCTTTCTGGCCGGGATGAGAAGTTCTGTCTGCCCTTGGCTCCTCCCGGGCAGCTTCATGCCCGGGCTGCCCGCCACCCTTGGCTCAGCAGGGCCCTCCCCAAGCCCCCCTCAGCTCCCCGGGCCCCACCGCAGGGACCGGCCGGCCCACAGGCAGAAGGTCTCCGAGATGGGCCAGTGACAGAGGCTTGGGAAGCGTTCTGAGGAAACACTGCTATGCACGTACAAGGCTCTGCGCTCAGCATCCCGAGCCGTGGCCTCGCCCCCAGCCGCCTCTCACCCAAGCCCGGCCAGCGCTGGGCCTATTCACCGTGGCAGGAGCATTTCAGACCTCAATTCGCCGCCACCCCAGCCTGTGTTCCAGGCAAGGCCAGGGGATTTCTGAGAAGCAGGAAACTCCTGCTTCCCTCCAGACCTCAGCGTGAGAGAGGAAGACGTGCCGCTGGCTTTCCCGTTTGTGTCCTGCAGCCGGCAGCCCCTCCGGACAAGGCACGTGGCCCGCCCCCCAGCCCCCACTGTGACCGGCGGGGCCGAGACCATCACTTGGAGGCCACAGGCTGACTCATCAAGCAGACCTCTCCCCAGTACCTTCTAGGCATCCCTGCTCCCCACTCCAGTCGTGGGTCGGCTACTCCTGGGGGGCCCAGGCAGACAGAAAAGTTGCCCAAGCGACCAGCCCCCAGAGACCCAGAGCCAGCGGTCCCTGGCACACAGGCTCGGGCCGGGGGCATCCTGCGTGTCTGGAAAGAACTGTTGTTTCCATTCTACAGATGGCGTGGGGAGAAGCAGAGCCCCCATGTGGGGCCAAGTCCCCTGAAGGGCACGACATGGCACCTGGCCTGCTATGTGGGTGGGACACAGTGACCATCCAGCCAGGCACTCTCTGCCACCGCGGCACAGCAGATAAGGGCTGGGCATCAGGGCAGTGGCCTCCGTCGGGGAGGGACGGAATCGTGTCACGAGCCCAGCACATGCTTCATTTCACTTTTTTGGTCAGCAGTGTCCCATGATGTCTGTGACCACCCAGGCTGTCTGGACTAGTGCTTTTCAAGCCGGGGGCAGTAAAGTCAACTGAGTGGGGTGCAGGCAAGGAACGTAAAGTACACAGAACGGACAGACCATGCAGAGGGGTACCCGGTTCTAGTCTGGGTAGGTCTGGGGCCACATGGGATGGGGCCAGAATGTGAAGGTGCTTCTCACTGGGACGGAAGGCTGACGGCTATGGCCACTGGTCTAGCTGTCCAGGCTAGCGGGGTCTGTGCCCCCCAGAGAGTGTTCTCTTACCCTGAGGCCTGGGCATGTCTTTAAGACCACTGAACCCTCGGTATGGGGCTGCTGGGTGAGAATCAAGTGTTCCTCTGAGGAAACAGCCAGGGGACAGGGGTCAGGGAGCAGGCTCTGGAGACGACACTCGTTCTCTGAAGTCAACCAGGACATCAGGCACCAGGACAAGTGAGGCCTGGAGGCTCCCTCAGCCCAGCTCCACCACCAGCTGTGGGGGGAGCCCCCCTCACCCAGCTCCGCCACCAGCCCTAGACACTCGCCCCTCCGTGGGGCTGCAGGTGCCAGGCAGACATCAGAGCAGGCGGCTCCCAGGAGCAGGCAGGACCATCCCATCACAGCCTGCGGGACACCAAGGGGGCTGCTGGGGCCCCACGTTAGCGGCGAGGGGGCCCCCTACAGCCTGCAGGCTGGGGGCAGGGTGTCCGACAGAGATGCAGACTGCTGCCCACGGCTCGGTGGCCTGGGACGGAGGGGGTGAGGTAGGGTGACTTCCCCCACGCAGTTTAACATCTAGTCCACGTCAAGCCTGCGGAACTAACTGGGAACGAGAGAGGGGCAGGAAGGAGCCGGCAGTAATGGCGCTGGTGGCAGGAAGGGTGGCCAGCTAGGGAAAGAGCCTGCCTTGACCACGATCCCTCACAGGTCTGTTCCCCCATCTGTGGAAGGAAAGGACGGGGCAGCTTGGGGGTGTGACATGGTCAGCATGTGCCACTGACACGCCAGTGACAGGTCAGGTGTCTCCAGGGCAGAGAGAAGCGGGGCTTCGGTCATCGCGTGCTGTGTCCCCACCTCTGCCGGTCAGCAGGGCAAGGCAAGCGAGAGCCAGGGCATCAGGCCGACCGTTAGCATGGCAAGAAGAAATAGAGGCCCCCAACCCCTGACAGGAGAGGAGAGGAGAGGAGAAGGGGAGCGGACCTGGCATGGGGCTGGGACAGGCCTCTCCCCCTAACTGGGCTGGCTGTCCCCTCCCATGCCCCGGGGGCAGCACAGACAGAGGGCCAGCAGGGAGTAGGCCGGCCCACACATCCTGAGACAACGCTGCCCTCTTCTGGCCAGTGCTGGGACATCCGGCGCGCCACCCACTGGCCACATCCTGCCTACAGCTGGACAACCCAGGCCTGGGCATCCTTAGGTGCTCTAGAAGGTTCTAGAAGTATACACAGGGTATCCTACCTCAGGAACCACTCCCCCCGCTCCCTGATCGGATGGTAGGGTGGGAGGCAGCAGTGGTTGAGGAGGGGTGTCCCAGCTGTTTTCCAAATCAGGACCCACCGGAGGCACAGCCTGGGCCCCTCCTGCCTCTGCCCCTGGGGTGATCCTGCCGAGGGGCCCCGGGGAGGCAGGAGGGCTGCAAAGGCCAGCCTCAGACCCAGGAGCCCAGCACAAGGGAGGATCCGACTCTGGTGCACTGCTTCCCAGTGGATTTGAACACGGACAGCGGCGCTCCCTGGTAGCCCATGGGTGGCACACCAGCCCCTTGGCACCTCCACCTGCCTTGGGGACTCTGGTTTCCAAAGCCCAGGCTGGTTCTGGGAAGCCAGGGCAGCCCATGGGAGACACATCTGTCTTTACAACATCTGTGTTCACACCCACCTGGCTGGGGCTGATTTGGTGGGGAGGGGTCTTCCGGGGCTCCTACCCAGAAAGAGTGTCCAATGACAAGAGCCACCATCCTTCGTGTGAACACGTGAAGAGCATGCATCAGCATGTGTACCGCACTCCTACCATCCTGTTTGACAAGGTCTGCCACTTGCCTTAAACGCCAGAACAAAAAGCAACTAATGGCTTCTCTAGGACCGTGGCTGGGAGACGGGTTCCTGGAGAACCCGTGAAAGGGCTCTGAGAGCCAAGGGCAAAGGCCCAAGAGGTACCCCCCAAGAGGCCTCATGGCTCTGAGGGAGCTCAGTGTGAGGCCCCCAGGGATCTGAAGCCACATCAAAGTCTGGTTCTTCACCTGTGGCTCATGCTGAGCAAGTGGGGCTGCATCCAGCAGGGAGACATGGAAAGGGGCCCATGGAGCGGGCGTGGTGGGCGAAGCAGCCCTTGCTGTTCAGTCCTAGGAAGACAAGGCGGACATGGAGGGCGAACCAGTGTGCCTAACTCACAAGCCCTGTTCCCAGGGCAATGACTGAGGCCGACAGCAGCTTCGACCCGGCTCCCGGGAAGGTGCTGGTCCTGGAGGGATGGAGGCATCGGGGGGTGGGCCTGGCCAGCCTCACGCCCCACCTGGCACTCACCTCGAGGACAGTGCGGGGCTGAAAACACCGAACAGGCCTTGGGGCTCACGAGCTATCTGCCTCAGGCTCGGCAGTGCCTCTCACCGCCCGTCTGTCATGGAACCCGCTGCTGGAAGGTGGGCCTCAGGGCCCCAGAGCACAGGCAGAAGCGCAGCCTGCTGGCTCTGAGGACGGCCACCACTGTCCCTCTCACCCGCCAAGGCCACGCTGTGCCAGGCTCCCCACTCAACACTGCTTATTCTCGCTGAATCCTCCCAGAGCTGGGTGTGGATGGAGAAGCTGAGGCTCGGGGTACCAGCCACTCAGCTAGGGAGGGGGAGGGCAGGGGCAGGAACTAGGGACCCTCCGTGCTCATCATCACACAGCCCAGGCTCTCTGAGGCTCCCTGTGGGGGACTATGGGCACGTCTGGGACCGGAGAGAGAGGGATGGAAAGGTTGACCGCCTCTCAGCCCCCACTCCCACCTTCTCCAGTAGAGCCTGACTGCGCTGGACCAGCTCTGGCCCCATGCAGCCCCTTCCTCAATGTTCAAGTATCTCTGGGGCATTTTCACCTGACTTCAAGGGACTGGAACAGTTGTACTCTGGGAGACACTCAGCTTCAGGAAAAACTGCACCATGCTCATATTTTGGTTTCATACCTTATGATGAAGTAGCATGGCTTTTACGTTGGGATAACAGAGTGATTTATTATTTACCCAACACAGTAGGAGCGGCGGATCCATTTCAATAAAACAATGGATTATAAGCGCCACCAGCAATCTGGCAGTAGCAGTAATCAACAAAACATGTTGTTCTAAATGCTGCATAATAAATTGACTATAATAAACTCATAATTATTCTACTGGCTACATTTCAAAGTTACCACTAGAAAAATCAAATCACCAATTTGAACCTGGCATTAACATCCATGGGATTCCTGGATCAGCCCTCAGTCCTCCTGTCTTAGCTGCAAGCAGGAGCTGCAGGTGCCACGCGCTGCCAGGAGGGCCGGGGCCACATCTGGGCCACGTGGGAAGTGGATATATGCTGCGCCTTGGTCAGCCCAGCCCCACCCCAGCAGCGGCCAGTCCAGGAACGCAGCTGTGACCAGCCTCTCATGGGGTGAGGACCGTAGTGGGGGCAGATAGAGAGTGGAAAAGTAGCCACTTCCTCTGGGGTGTGCCAAGTTCACAGAGGAGAAAAATCACGGCCACATGGCATGGCCACAGGGCCCTCCAGGCGGCCAGAGCTGGCCCCGGGACAGCCAAAACCCGCTGGTATGGCGAGGTCTCTGCCTCTGCCCGGGGACTGGTTTCCCACATCCTGGCCTCGTGGCCCAGGCGGAATGGGCGGCACAAAGAGCACTAGGAAAGGTTCCAGGACGCAAAAGTCCCTGGAGACACCAGGTGGTCTCTCTCTGGCCCAGAGGGCACGGTGCTCCCGTCTGCCCTTAGTCTCCAGCTGAGCCACATCTCAGGCAGCCACCCCCCTCCCTAAATCCCTCTGGCTCTGCACCTGGACCTTCCTTGTGTCTCAGTGACCTCCCCTACACATGGCGGGGGGGGGGGGGCATGGGGTGGGGGCAGGGTGAGAAAATCTACCTGAAGAGACGTCCCTGGGCCAGGTACAGGGGAAGGTCCTGTCAGGGTTTCTGCACACCCTTGGCCCCTATGCCAAGAAGGACACCAGCCACTCTGGGAGGGGTGCAGACACTTTGGGTGTCCCCCTCTGTATGCTCCCATTCCCACTCTACTGGCCCAGACCCCCCAGGAAAGGGCACATGAGCTCAGCCCCTGCCTTTCTGACACATTTCTTCTGCCCCTTCATGCCGTTCTGAGAGCTGTGTGTTATCTCCACTGACAGAAAAGTAAACTGAGGCTCCAAGAGGGAACTCAGGGGCTTTGTTTCCTCCCAGAAGGTGGAACTAGGCTCTGGGCGACAGCGGCCCTAGCCAGAACAGCCCGTCCCGCTACTGCTCCCGGGTGATAGCAGAGCCCACAGCCAGTCACCGAGCCCAGTGTGCCCTGCGGCAGGGACGGACCCCCTGGGGTTGGGTGGATGTCTGAAAACACTTAGCAGGGACAGCTCAGAACACAGCTCAGGCCCCCCAGTGGATGCGGGCCAGGGCCTCCTGAGTGCAGGTTCCCCTCCTCCCTGCCTCAGGGCTGGGCTACACGTGCGGGAGGCCAGGTTCTGGCCGCCGGGCTGCATGGCCGGAACTCCAGCAGGGGAACGGAGCCTAGCTGGGCGACACCCACAACCCGACGCGAGGCACGATGCTGCCAGGAAGCAGGCTGGCAGGATTCTTGCTCAGGTGCCCAGCAACTAGGAGCTGCAGGCCCCAAAGAACCGATGCAACAGTGCGTGCCCCCCACCCCGGCCATGTATTGATGACCGTGGCAAGATGTCTGAAGACCAAGACAGGGTGGCCTCTGGGTGGCTCTCAGTGGCTCTCAGCCCGGCTTTCCTGAGCACAGGAGACATGTGGTGAGTGAGGCCAACCCCTCACCACATGTCTTCTGTGGGCTGGGCTGGCCCTGCCTGATGTCTGGGAGGTGGAGAGAAGTGGGCAGTGCCCAGGGTCCGAGTCAAAGAGAGAGCTGGTCCAGGTCAGCGAGGCACCCACAGACCCCTGCCAAGACCCGGGGCAACAGCCCAGAGAGGTGTGGCCTATGCTCAGTATGAGCCCTCCACCCCGGGGGGGGCGTGAGCGAGAGTGCAATCCTGCCAACAGGGGAGAGTCCATCTAGGGGCTGAGGGCTGCAGATCCTGCCCACATTTGCTAGGAGGTGCCCTGAGCACCTTAAGCTGTGCTCAGGAAAGCCCCGCAAACAGTCTTGAAGGTCAAGAGCCCCCTCTGACCTCCTGAACTCATGGCCGTTTATGGATGGCTGAGACTGGCAGGATTCAGAGGGTGGGAAGCTCCCCACGGGTCTACCCTGCTCCAGACTAGGTGCCTGCCCTCCTGGTACCGAGACAGAGGTGTGAGTGGCGAGTACGGGGCAGGTGCTGGGGGCCAGCTCAGGCCGCCTCTGAGGCTGTGCCTCAGCAACCCCCCACCACCCAGCACAGGGTCCCCCGCACCCTCTCTCGGTGCTTCTCTGGCCTTGCAGAGAAGGAGCCGTGCTGGTGGGCAGCCCTGGTAAAGAAGTCTGGGCCCAGAGCAGACCTGGGGGCCTCACTGTGCTCGGCCCTCTCAGGGTGGGACCAAGAGGCTCCCCAGTCAGTCCCCCTGGAGGTGGAGACCCCCTGCGACCCCGTGGGTCACATGCAGAGCCAGGACAGGGCCGGCTCAGAGCTGGCCTCACTCACCACATGTCTCCATCCTGGATGGTCCGGTCGTTGGGGGCCCCGGCGTGTCCATAGTGCAGCACCGCCGAATTCTCACCACTGCGGAGGACCGGGGGAGGTCAACAGCCCATCCTCACCGGGATGTGCCCCTCAGAGACACAGCCACGGTGACACATGCACACCTGCACACGCAGACATGCACACGGCCATGCACACCCATTCTCAGGGGCAGGCCCCGGCCCACGGGCAGTACCATCCCCCCCTCCAGCAGAGGCCCGGGGGTGGCCGGCTCAGGCCGTACAGCTGGTGGCCAGCCTCGTGGCTCACAGCTCCCATGCTGACACGTCAGGGCTCCCCTAGATGAGCGCTGTGTGGGCAGATGCCCTTGGGGCTGAGCATGTGGGACTGGTGGGGGGACAAGGGTCTGAGGCCCGGGGAAGGGACCCCGAGGAAGCCGTCTTCTGGTTGGGGGCGGGGAGGCCCAGGGGAACGGCCCGGACCATGGAGGGGCCGCCATGCTGTCAGCCTCGCTCCTCTACTCGAGCTTGCTTCCCTAATGAGCGATGCCTTTAAGAAAAAAAAGACTTTTAAGTCTGTCCAAAGGAAAAAAAAAAAAAACCCACCTGGGTGTAATATTTATGGCCCTGTTCGGGAGTCTGAAGAATCATAAAAGTAGAAATAATGATTTTTCTCTCTATCCACCAGAGAAGAACATTTCCAAAGACTGAGATGTCCACATGTATTATTCATGTGCCGAGGACGTGCGCATCAGCAGACCTGCTGGTTCCGTCCTGGCTGGGCAGAGGCCAGACCCTCTGACCCAGGGTGCAGAGCTGGGCGAAGCGAGCTAGGGTGCACCCGGGAGCCGAGGGGGCCACCCCCAGCCAGTATGTGCTCCTCAGAGACACACGCACGGTGACACACGCAGACACGCAGACAAGCACACAGCCGTACACACCCACAGCCACGGGCTGCCCCGTTCTCAGCGGCATTTGACCCCCGTGGCCTCTAAGCACACTCAGCCACATGCAGCTGACACACACAGACACACACAGAGCCCCCCCCAGCCACAGTGTGCCGCACGTGGGGGGACACCCCCCACCCCAGAGACCCGGACCCACCCACCGTCAGGATGCTCCCTACACAGCCACACTGATGGCCACACACACACACAGACATGGAACCACGGCCTCCTGCACCGACATGGCTCCTTCCGCCTCTGCTGCACACAGAAGCCGTCACAGCCCTAAGTCACACCCTGGTCCCCACATGCTGGCTGTATGTCTGTGTGGAGGGGGAAGGAAGGCTAGCCAGCAGCCCCAGGGGGGCAGCCACCCTAGAGAGGGCGAGGGAGGGCATGGCAGCGAGTGGGCCGGCTCCCTCCTGCACCCCGCACGGGCCAGAAGCCTTAGGAAGGGACAATGGCTTAGCTTCAGTGGGCACTGCTGTGGGCATGGTAGCGAGCAGGTGTGTCCAAGCTCAGGGGGCGGGGGGGCCCTCACCTTCCCACAACCCCCCCTCTCTGTCATCCCCACTTACCTGCCACAGATGCACGTGTAGGAGCTGTGGCGCATGCCCCCCCGGGAGTAGCAGTAGTGCTTGAAGAGGCTGCAGGGGAAGAAAGGACGTCAGGACGGAGGTGCCAGAGGATGCACGCCCCCTGCCCCATGCAAATCCTGGGCCCAGCTTGGCTTGCTTGGCTGTGCCTGCAGCAAGACCCAAGCTCCCCGGCATGGCTCTGCGAGGCTTGTAGCCCGGAGCCCAGGGTCGGCGCAGGCCACAGAAGCAGGGGCCAGTGAGGAGAGGGAAAACAAAACAAGAGGCACACCACCTCCCATGCTGGGGGGCCGCCCAGCGCCCCGGGCCCATCGGGAAGTCAGCCCTGGTCTTGCAGGAGGACGGATTGGGGCAGGGGCCACCGCTGTATCCCTGGGACTCCCGTGTCCACTGGCCACAGCCCACCCCACCACGAGGGGCTGGACACGAGCTCTCCCAGCCCCAAGCTAGCCTCAGATGGCCCTGGGCCTGACCCTTGGGAGGGGCACAGGGAAAGGAGAGCAGAACCGCTGGGCACTGGCCTGGAGGACAGGGTCGAGGGGCAGGCCCTCACGGAGACAAAGCAGGGCAGAGCGGTCTCTGGTTGGGGGCAGAGGGGATGGAGAGATACAGGGTCTGAGGACAGGTCCTCCTTCTCCATCCTCAGGCCAAGCAGCAAATGGCCCCATGGACAAGCTCCCACTCTGGGCAGGGGAGGCAAAGGTGAGACCCTAGAGGGGGTCGCTAGCCCCCAGGGTGAGCCCAGAGCCAGAGCCTTGGGAGGCCTCCAGGTACACAGGATGTCAAGGTCAGAGGGTAAACCACCCCTGGCAAAGGCCTGAGCCCTGCCCCCGGTCCTCCTGGGGCAGATCCTGCAGATGACTACAGGGGCTGATGGACCAGACCAGCCACATGAACACCACCTCAGCAGTGCTGAACTCTCGGGGGGCCTGGGCAACATCTGAGAAGCAGGTCCAGGGGGCCCCACCCCACCCACCGACCCCCAGGGCAGGGGCCCAAGCACGGGGCTGTGCCACAGCCCCCGTCCTCAGAACACCAAGGCTGCCCGTGGGCATGCTGAGTGGCAATCCTGCCCTGCTCACTCGAGGCCTGTTTCGGGGAACATCTATATGGAGCAGTCTAATCTTCCAGGCGCTGTAAACATCAATTACGTGTAATTGTTATGATTGGGTATTAAGTAGTTGTCATGCAGGAACGGTTCTGCTCTGTTCAATCGGCTTCCAGACTTGCTTCACAAACCTCCCAGGATAATTGGGTATCTGTGAGTGAACGATTTCCTCAACAGAAAGAATTTCAGGAACTGCCAGGGAGGCGAGGAAGAGCGCACACTCCCCCCTTATCAGTGCCCTGTATTCACAGCAGGGGCACTCTAGGGGCTGCCACCAACTTTCACCTCTGTCCCAGAGACCATGGGGGTGGCGAGACCAAGTCACAGCCCCGCGTGCGGCTACAGCCCAGCCCGTTCCTTCCTGGGGCCAGCCTTCCAGTGCCAAGCCCCGGCAGGCAGCCTCTGATACCAGGGCCTCGGACACGGGGCCCCCGCACAGCGAGCCCACATGAGGGGAGGACGCCTGATGCGCCGCGGAGCTGCTCCCTTATAAGGAAGACCCAAGCCTGTCCAGACAGAAGCAGATCTCAGGGCCGCATGGCCATTCTCCAGGGGCTGGGGACAGAGGGCCTTTCCTGGGGCAGGGACAGGCAGACAACTGTGGGAACAGCCAGGAAGGCCAGGCCGAGGGACAGCTGTGCCGCCTGCATGCGCAGATGAATAACCAGGAACATTCTGCAGAGGCCTGAGGACGTGGGGTGGGAGGGCGGCTTCCCTCCCCTACAGCCTCAGCGGCCTGCATTTCCCGGCCGTGTCCTCTGCTCAGGAGAAACAGCCTTCATGGCACACTCCGGCTTCCATTTAAGAAAAAAGCACTTTAGGGTAAAAGGCACAGCTTACAGAAGCACTAGACTGAGCGAAGGCTGACCCAGTTTTCACCTGCGGATTGCAGCCTGGCCCTGGGGCAGTTTCTAGCCACAGGAAGAGGAGAAACGCCAGAAGCTGAAAAGTCACTCGAGCTGAAAATGACTTGAAGTTATTCAAATTGGACTTCAGCATCTAATTTTGGTTTGAATTAACTTTTCTGACACGACGTGAGGACCAACTGGGGCTTTGGTGGCAATAACAGGCGAACGCAACAGGCCCACGTTTTCTGCTCACGCGCCTCGGAGGTCCCTCTCTGAGCCCTCAGGCCTGGGCTGTGGACACATGCAATGGTCAGGGGGCCCATGGAAAGATGTGTCCCACGCATTTCTGGTTTTCAAGGGACAGGGGTACTGAGCAGTGCATGCTGCAAACTGGGGCCACATGGGTGACACGGAGCTCCTGTGGAGCCTGGTAGGAGCTCGGTCAGAGATGCACGCGTTCCCACTACAAAGCTCACAGACCGAGGCGGTGATAGAAGGGCAGTTGATAAAGACCCCTCTGGAACTTTATGGAAAATATGGCCAACTGTGAACCAGATGAGGATCAGGTGACCCATAGCCAGAAGGGCCTAACTCCTGACAGACACAAGTCTAAAGCCAGATTCGGCTGGAAGCTACCCGTTGGTCCCTCTGGAGCCATAAAGAGACAATGGCAGAGTAAACTGAAAACCGGAACTGTAAACCGTCCCACCTCCCCCACTCAAGAGGTGCTGCATGAAAGACAGTACACAGAACCACGTTCATGGGACAGGAAGGAAGATGGGGCCGGAAGGAAGGAAGACGGAGCTGCCAGGCTTGGGAAGCTGGAGGCCTTGGCTTTCACTGCCATGTGGGGACAGGGACAAGGCCTCAGGGACATAAGAAGTAGCAGAAGAGAACGAGACCCCACCCTCACATACAGCTGCGGCCCAGGCCGGGATGCACCCTCAGCAGAAGGCCAGACCTGGAGAAAATTCGCCAGCATCAAAACAGGCCATCAGGGAGCCTGCCTGGGCTCTGGGGAAAAACAAAATACCAGCCTTCCCTTGGAGTTCATAGTGTGGGTCTGTCCTCCGTGGGGTTCAGGGTCCAGGGTGAACTACCTGCATGGTTTGGAGTGACACAAAGCCAACTGGGCGGCCACAGCCTCAGGCCAGCCAGGGTCTGTGTGCACGCTATGTACACAATACACACACACACACACTGAAGATGAACTCACAACCCACACTTCGTCCACAAGAGTTGTCAGACACAGCCAGCAGCAGGCTGGGACCCCCAAGGATTTCTGGTAACAGAATTTCAGGGACTATACGCACCCATGAACTGACACCTAACCACAGAGCATGAAAACACAACAGGTAGATCCTATGAAGAACCACCTCAAAACTTCTGGAAGTGGGCAGTCTACCCATCAGCAGATGGGGGCAGGAAGCCAGGCAGCAGGGCCGGTAGCCCAGAGATCACCTCCGCCTGCTCTTTCATCTGTGACTCTCACCTGTGTGTCGGTGTCCCGCGGGGCCTACCCGCCCCGCTCCCTCCTGCTCACCTGCGTGGAGCATGAGGTGGGAGCACCCGACCAGGCACCAGGCCCGTGGCCCGGCAGCAGGGGGGGGCTTCCCGATGCGCAGAGGCAAGCCGGGGTCTCATACACACCTGCCACAACGTGGTCCCTGAAGCTCTCCCCGGCAGGGCCGTGCCTCTATCAATTTACACTCCTTGCCTATAAATTTCTCCCAAGCAAGACACGAGTGGAAAATGCTTTGTCTCCAGACATCAGTGAGAACCTTTCAGTAACCTGGGAGAGTCTGTGCTGTGAATAACGAGGTGGATGGAGCTACTGCGGCGACAGAGGGGCAGGCCCATTTGTCAGTGCCTAGAGATGATGAATGGGGCAGGGCGAGCAGATGCCGAGGCCCAGATCTGCAGGAACGGTGTCTCTGGGGACAGCACTGGGGCCTCCGCCGGGGCCTGCACGTCCAGCCCGTGGAGCCTTCCTGGGCTCACGGCCCAGCTCCTGCCCTCGGAGGTTTATCACCTGATGAGGAGATAGCCACGGCCCTATAAAAATGCATCAGCTGCCCAAGATAACGGCAGAAGGGCTGCCGGGGGCAGAGAGTGTCAGCGAGCTATCAGCACAAGCGTGAGCGCTGGCAGATGGGCCAGCCGGGGAGGTGAGCAGGGGCTGCATCAGCCCCCTCCTGATGCACGGCAGTTCCGGGGCATGCCGCGCCAGGAACAGGGACGTGGAAGGGAAGATGGGCAGGCCGCTTGGCTGAGCTGCGGGTCTAGGAGAGTGAGCAGCTAGGACACGGGGTTCTCGTGTGCGGCCAAGGCACTCCAAGCTACACGCAGGGGCAGGTGCAGTCCACACCCACTGTTACTGCGGTCCCCAGCGGGTGCCCCACGTTCTCTCCTGGCAGAGGCAGGCTCCTCGTGGCTGCCCCCCACATCCTCAGGCCTGTGGGTTCTCCACCCTGTGCCGTGTCCCGTCATCCTTGCTCTGGGCCACATGCCCAGCCTCCCGGGGGCACTGCTCAGTAATGACACTGAAGCCAAATCCCAGCTCTGCCATGTACCAGCTGTATGGCCTGTCCGTGCCTCAGTTTCCTCGTCTGTAAGATGGGATAACAGTACCTTCCACAGAACTGCTGTATCACTTATGTGATATGATACATAGAAAGTGCATATAACAGTGTCTGCCACATGCTGAGCCCTACGTGCAGGACACATCAGCTGTCACCACTGTGGTCGTTCAGGGGCCTCAAAGGGAGTGCACACAGCAAGGTCCCCTTGAGGGAGGCCGGGCTTAGACAAAGAGTCTCTTGTCCTTTAAAGCCAAACAGAATCCCTCTGTGGCCCGGACCCCGGTGCCCCCATGGCGCAGTGCAGCCCCACGTGCAGGTGGACACACGCTGCCTCCCCAGGACAGATGCGCACACAGGCGTCCCCTGACACAGGGCGTCTAACTGCCTCTGTCCCGCTCACGCATCCGGAAGTCTTGCCTCCTTAGGGAAGTGCCCCGGCCTTGAGGAGTGAGAAAGGAGGGAGTGGGGGTGTCTCGTGATGTTTTGGGGCTAATGACTATGTTCTGTGCAGTTATCACAGCACTGAGTTACTTCGGATTCACATTTATTGTTTAATTAACTACCCTTATTTTTTGGGTATAAATGACAGCTAGGTAATGAATGGGAAAGG